TATCTCAACAAAATTCCTTCTTAAGGAAAGTTAGTTAAAAGAAAATAGATTAACTTTAACAAATAGTTTATTAATTGATTAACTGCTATGATGTTGAAAATGTCCAATACTCGATATTGAAATTTATTTACAAAGACTTGATTTAAAAAAAATATATATTAATCAAAATTTACAACTGTATTAAATAAAATACAACTAATAAAAGTGAGCATAACAAGATTAGTGATTTAAACATACCTGTCTAAGCTCGTATTATGAGGAATCGAGGAAGAACAAGGTTGAAAACAAATTATTTGGATGTCTAGCATCAAAAGAAAGATATCTGTTTTGGGCCAAAACAGCGACATATAGGAACATTTAGGTATTTATCAATGATTATATTTGCGATAAAATATGTAAAATTAAAGATTTTGGATACGAGAGGGATTTGATGATTCAGTGGGATCCAAAGTTCAACTCCGTAAGTTCATATAGGCCTTATAATAGTTATAAATTATAAATCGCTTTTTCTAATTAATTAAAAGCCAATAGTGTTTAGTATGTGCTAAATTAGAGAGAATAATCGAACAGTTTCTATTCGTTTCAGTATTCTACAAAGAATATGTCTTGAGTAGAAAAACCGAATTATTTTTATACTTATCTTGATATTAATCATAATACTTGTAAGATAAATTTTCATGGCTGGGATTAACATTATTATTGGAATAACGAAACATTGTGTGACGATTTATCAGTTATTTAGCTGAGACTTAACAAAGAATTCCACTGAGGATATTAACTAACTATACCCATATATATATATATATATATATATATATATACATAGAATATTTATTGGTATTTAGTCTTATGTTGATTCAAGTTATATTATATACTTTTTCTACTACTAAAATTCATTGATTTAAAAAAGTATACATATAGTTACATACATGGGTCATACAAGTTTTAATAAAATTATGTAAAATATATTTATTTCTGTTGGATGTAAATTATTAATCAATATAATTCTAAATGAAAAATTTAACCTTTGATAAATTAGATAAAACTGATTGCTATGCAATTAGACTATTAGATGTTGATTCCTAAAGTACTTTATTCGTTTAGTTAGTATTTTTTTAATTGGTGATCTGGAATTAAAAATAATTATTTACGGTTTTATTATTTTTTTTAAATATTGCATTGAGGATGCGATACTATAATTTCAGTATTTCTCAATAAATACCTTGCCAAATAAAAAAAAAATACTCTTTACTTTTATGTAATGTCGAACATGTCAATTCATCTAATTAAAAAAAAAATACATGTAAGAAACTACTGAAGTATTGTAATGTTTTGAACTAATTTATAATTATTTTAAGATGAAATTTAAATGGATGTAATGAAGAGTGCAATATCGTCCATATAATTTTTAAGAACTCTTGGAAAATAAGCTCATGAATATCTAGTTTATTTTTTACTGATAAATTAAGTGAAGAAAAAGTAAGTTAAGTTCACCATCGCCTGTATTGGGAGCAAATTTGCTAAGATCGACCGATCAAGATTAAACTTGGTTTAATCATATATATTGCTTAATCTAAGCTTTATTGAGTTCAAGCAACTGGCCCTAAATTTTCTTCTAAAACTACGTTTAAAATGAACTAAGTTACTAAGTGAATTAATTGGAAGGTATGGTATGCAGTCTCTTTAAATATAACATCGTGGAAACCTCTTAAGCATATTGTAGTCGACTTATATTAAACAATTAAATTTAATTTACTTTAAGTTATTAATAACATAATAAAAAGTCCGATTTCTGACAATCTTTATAGATAAAAAAGTAGTAGGTTACAATAAGATGAAGACATTGACGAAGTTATAGACCGGTTCAATAATTTGATGAAAAGGGTCTGCATCATGTATTTTATTTTAGGGTTCATCCGTTTATATATATATATATATATATATATATATATATATATATATATATATATATATATATATACATTTTCTTCATAAAAATGATAAAACAATCCGAGATACTCCACTTCATAGCAGTACAGACGCAACGATGTTTTGATTCTATTTATAACCTCATTGTCTATATTTAACTGAGGCAATCCAAAGTATCTAATATAAACATTTAGCATTAATATTATTATAATAAAGTAAATATTTTAATTTTATTCTAAAATAATTAGCTGAATAGATTGTTTTTATTTATATAAATATATTTTAAATATTTTTAAAACAAGTTTATTTTTAAATCTTGAATTAATACTTTTCATTTAATGATGATGATTGTGGCTCTTCAATGTGATCCCTGCTGTAAAACAAGAAATATATAATGTTAAAAACAATGCGAACTTTTTAAAATTTATTTTATCCGTAGTCTGATAAGGTTTTTACAATACTGTGGACTCTTGCTAAACCGAACGAATTAAAACCAAGATGTCTCGGATAAGTGAAAAAAAAAAAGAGAGCTTCATAAATAAAAATTAATTTAAAAACAAAAATCATGAATGAAATTACATAAAAATATGTTTACAATAATTAATCATTGTTCAGAAATGAATTTTTAGATTTTTTTTTTTTTTAAATAATCTGAGATTTTCATCTATTGGAACTTGAAATTATTTTTTTCAAGACCACTAAACGCATCTTATAATATTTTATAAAACGCATCTTATAATAGAATACTGTAAAAATACCATTATATTAATTTAATGTTATCACTGTAGATTAATTTAATAAAAATATTAATTACGTCCACAGATAAAGAAATTTAGAAAATAAATTTTTATATAAATGTTTATAAATTTGATTAGGTACATTGCTTGGAATTTAGTTTTAAAAAGCAGTTGGTATTTTCAACTACATTATTTAATCTTAAACTCGTAAGGTGTTAATATTATTGAATATATAGTATATACATACAACATACATATAATCAATTCTTTAATTTTTATAAAGGTTTGTTCGGATTTTGGAACAGTCCGGATAAGCAAGGTTCGAATTAGTGAAAGTCCTCATCTTTAATTTTATGATGATCTTATGATTTATAATTATTAGTATTAATAATTATATATTTTTTTTAAGACAACACATTTTAAAGCTTATATAGAGTACAGGAAAAATTAATGTCAAATTATTTTCTAAAGATCTATAGCTTTGTAAGATTATAATTTTATAAATATATTAAAACTTAATTAATAAAAATTAATTAATTAATTTTATAACTATATAAATTATATTTGTAAAACACTTGATAAAATGTTCGTTGAAAGAATGATAGACGATTTTTTTAAAAATAAATAATAATTTTTAAAAAATAGTCCTTAAGATTTCTCTTATGATGATGGAGCTATTTCTTGAAAATACTTGAATTTTATTTTTATTTATTTATAACGAATCTGCTAATTATTAGACGTAAGATATCGCATGTTCTCGGGAAAACATTATGTTGTATGATTATGTTGCACGTGAAAATCAAAGCAATCAATTTCGTGAAGAAAATTTCGTCTTTTTATTGATAACAATTTATAATACGATTTTTATACGGATCTTCAGGAAAATTTACCATATATACTTTGAATAAAAATAATAATTGGTAAAATATATATTTTCTATATGATTAAGATCTTGTTGACAATCATTAAATAATTAAATTTAACTTATGATAGCATTTCCTATTGTTATTTTATACAACTTACACTCTCTTGTCGTCTGATATCCATAAATTAACATTTATTGTGTCCATGAATTTAAATAAGTAAACAAAGGGAGTGTATTAAATATGGGGAGTGCCACTCAAAGGTATTTCAATGTTACACTTTATCTATTTACCATGGATCGGAATTAGTTTTAATCTATTATTTTTATATTTTATTCCCTATCGTTCTATTTATATATATATATGTAATTATTTAAGGCATTGCTTTTTATTTGGTCAATATATATATATATATATATATATATATATATATATATATATATATATATATATATATATGTGTGTGTGTGTGTGTGTGTGTGTATTATTATTAATTTAACTTTTTTCAATATCATTTAATATATATATATATATATATATATATATATATATATATATATATATATATATAACTTTATATATTATCCAATCTATTAATTATATATACGTAATGAAGACTTGATTTTTTTGTCTATTTCAATATTTATATTCCTCATATGAATAGCCTCTCTTTTTTTCTTATTTTCTTAGTAGAATTAACGATATCTAGGATAATTGTATTTAAATAATAAAAGCCAAGATTAATTCATTTTAATTTATCGTGATAAAGCTGTTGCATCAATGTTTTTAATATACATCAAAATTGTAAAATTCTCTTTTAAAATTGTGAGACGTTTCTTCTATAGTTATTTTATATGTTATAAAGTTATTAATTTTATTATTATTATAAAACCTCAGTTATATTTCACGATGATTATAAGAATTAGTTGTTTTTTTGTAATTTCTCAGATAATTACATAATTTTGATTTATTTTTATTCCCATCTGGCTTTTTACTCTTATTTCCTTAATTTTTGTTTCATAGAATTTACTCAAACTGTTTGTGATGATTTTATTTAAGAATGTTCAAGTTGAATGAAAAAAAAAACTTTAGAACTGGTTTAAATTGAAGCTATGTCATAAAAAATTTGCTTTGATATTAAACCACTCATATATTTTCTGAGGACAAGATAATGTGTTTATTGATCCATGGTTAACATAAAAACAAATTCTTTGAAATGATTAATAATGTTACTTCCGTAAGTTTAATATATTTTCTTATTCTGGAGTTTATTTATCACTTAAGGAGCTAAAGTAAATATGGTTTCAATGAACTCTTTCATCATTCCTTATTGAGACATAATGTTTTGTTGCCTGATAAAATAGTACCAAAGTATGTTTTAGTCATATGATTTGTGAACAGTCATGTGTATAACATTTCATCTCATTTTAATATAGGTAATTCTTTCATAAATAATAGGTATGATTATAAATTACTCACTGAAAATTCCAAGAGCTATCATGACGATGAACCCTGCCATTATCGAGAGCAGCTGAGCGAGCCCGTACCTGGAGTGTGCCTTCTCCCTCTGGAGGACTTCGAAGAACACGACGTACAAGAGAGTTCCAGCCGCCATGCCCTGGAGGATGACGGAAGCGAGGGCTAACGGCGGAGAGTCCAAAGCACCTTCGGAGGAAATGATGAGACCAAGACCGATCCCGAGGGGAGACACCAGAGCGAAGGTGGCGATGTACACGATGATGAGGGTGGTCTTCGTCCTGGAGGAAACTAGTTCGATCCCGATACAGAAGGCGATGACCAGCTTGTGAGTGGCGATAGCTGCGCAAAGGTACCACACGTTAGCAGCGTTCTTCTCGAGACCGACGGCCAGGCCTTCGAAGACGGCGTGAAACGAAAGAGCCATAACAGCGAGGAGACCGCGGAACGACTTCACCACAGAGACCGGCTCGGAAGAGGAAGAAGCCGTCTCGGAAGGCTCGGTCATGACAGGCTCCAGTCTGGAGTTCTTCTTGTTGTAATCCCTGATGAGGACCTGAGTGGAGGCTGTGATGGTCGAAGGTGGAGAAGTGTTCTGAGACTTGTTCAGGTTTATCCTAGGGATCATGTTGCCATGGCATCGTCTCACGCTCAGTGTTCTGTGTAGAACCTCTTCGTCTTCTTCCGGATGGGTCTTATCCAAGAAGGTGTGTACCACTTCCTCTATGAGATAGACGAAGAAGAACCCGATGCAGAAGATGAGTTCCGAGAGGTTGATGCCGGTGTCCACGATCACTTGGGGTATGATCCCCGTCTTGAGCACAGGGGGCATGGCCTCCCTGACCTCTGGCTGGAGGTGCATGAAGGTGGTGTAGAGGAGGACCCCTCCGCCGAAGCAGAGCAGCAGGGATATGACGAGGGGCTGGCCGCGGGCGCCGTGGGCCGGGGGGTCCTTCCAGCGAAGGCAGGAGGCCAGCTTGATGGGGAGGACCCCGAGGACGAAGGAGGACAGCCCGAGGACGGCCATGGCCGACAGCTTGGCGACGACCAGTCCCTCGGCCCCCCCGCCCCCCTCGCCGCGCGTCTGGTTCTCGAACTCTGCGAACTTCATGGCTGAGGGCCGACTGGCCCGAGATCTCCAGCCGCTGGCTTTATACCGCCCCCCTCCACTGCCCCCCTCCCTCCTGCCGCGCTCCTCTCAATCCTCATCTATCTAATATATAATAATTTATCATTTTTCTAACAATTATTAATTCACCTAACGCTTAATATAAAAAAACATATGATTTTTAATTATTAACAATCCATACAGTATATAATTCGAAGGTACAGATCCATTTTCTTGCTATCAAGAGCTAAGGACTTGAATGAATAACGTATCAAACGAAGAGGAATTTTATGGAGAAGTAACGAATCCAAATTTCGGTCGTTAAATAATTAAACCACATTAATAAAAGACATTGAAAAATATCTGTTGTGTTCACTCACACGACTTTCCTATTTCAGCAAAGATTTATATCTTTACATATGTTCATGAAGAAACAAAAAAGAATTGAACTAGATACATTTTCCTGAAAATAGATCAAACATAAGATTTGAGTACGATTAAGATCAGTGTAAAAATGTCAACACTTTTCACCATAGCATAGTATTGTCAAATAATAATTTCTGTTAAAAGTAGAAGAAATAGTGAAGATTGTATGATGCGGGCAACAGATTTTCTTACTTTCACTTAGTCATCTTTATTCTCTCATTCACTCCTTTCTGACACCAGGATATGTACCCGTAATCTTACATTGGAAATGGTATAGCTGTAACTTCGTTAATAGTTGTCCAAAATGAATGATTTTTATATGGCTTTGTAGGGAATTTAATTACCTTTCAAAAGTTTTATTATAAATTTCACCGTATAATATATATACTCAGGAAGTTAGGCCCCATAACATTTTTCTTTTCTTTATAACTTTTTTCCTGATTTTTTTTGGGAATTTAGTCTATATACGAAAATTGAAAGAACAATGATTAGAACATTATAGGAAAGTTTAATCGAAATCGTTGGAGCCGTTTTCGCTCTGCAGTCTATAGAAAAACATGTTTTTCATTTATTGCGCATGGAGCATCCATGTCACAGGCATCAGTAGTCAAAACCCTACAAAATAAAAAAAGCAGCAACAAAATCGGTTCAGTAGTTCCCGAGAAAATCTTGGCACAGACAGAGAGACAGACCAATACCTAAAAATGTGTTTTTCGGACTCAAGGGGTTCTGAAACGTATAGATCCGTCGAAAACCGCATGTAGGAAATTTGACCCGATTGCAATACTTTCCTTACCTAGTATAGGTAGGAAAATAAATATGTTAGTTTTTAAAACTCAGATGTTTTCATCAATCAAATTCGAAGATGCCATGTCCATAAATTCAAGGGTATATTGTCATTTTTAAATAACTTCTTGCAGAACAATTCCAAAAAGAAAAAGAGCTTCCTCGAGGAACAAAGTTTTGATGTTGGAGAGCTTGCGATATTGGCCGAGAATATTATTCTGGTCTCCCTGAGCATCATTCACTATCATATCTATTGTAATTGAGGATGTTTTTTATTAATTATTTATTCAATTTAAATTTTTTTTAGCAGTACGTTATCGTTTTATCTATATTCGTGAACTAGACCTGGTTGGGTCTAGATGACCAAGTCGAAATATTTAAAAACTAAAATATATTTAGAAAAAAAAAAACTAATAGTAACAGGCTAGTAAGTCTTTATGAAGAAAAAAACATAAAAAATGATTGTAATGTAATGAATTTAATGATAGGTATTTTAATATAACATAGAACATAGAACATAGAACAAGAAGTCGGATTCTGAAGATGGGAGGAGTCTCCGAAACTTAATTCGGTGTATTAAATAAAAATAATAAAAGCTATAGAGAAATACTTTATTGAAAGTAATGTTGCCCTACTACATAGGGTTGCTTTGTACACAGCATACTCGTATTTATCAATCCATATTGACATAACTATTACATTATATATTTTTTTATTATTATATATACATATCTTTTTTTTTCTATCCCTTTTTATAACACTAGCCCCGATAAAATATCAACAATAAACCATATTAAGCTATTTGCATAATATATATATACATTATTAAAAAAAAAATCAAATGCTAGGAATTCAACTATATATATACTTTTTTTTTTAATTATGTATATATATTATGCAAATAGCTTAATATGGTTTATTTTTGGTATTTTATTTTATCGCACTAGTGTTATAAAAAGGGAGAATATATATATATATATATATATATATATATATATATATATATATATATAATATATATATATATATATATATATATATATAATAGAAAAATGTAATATAATCAGTCCATGTGGATTGATAAGCGTGCAGTGTATAAAGCAACCTTATGTAGTAGGGCAGCATTAATTTCAATAAAGTATTTCTCTCTAGCTTTTATTATTTTTATTTAACATACTGATTTACGTTTCGGTGACTCCTTCCATCTTCAGAATCTGACTTCTTGTTCTATGTTACATTAAAAATACCTATCATTTATTTTTATTTATTTTTCATTAAATTTGCCACTACGTTGTAACGCATCAAGCAAATGTGTTGGAGTTTATTCTATCTTCTTGAATTCTTGATATTTTCTTAACTTGCCAGCAGAAGATCTCTAGGCCACTGCCTTTTCAGTCGTCGTTGAGGCTCACCAGGTAACAGGGAGGAAGATAGAGATAGACCGAGTGGATTTGGATGATTGAGAATAGAAGAGTGAAATGTTGTGTATGTAGGATTTTACTGTTGGTATGTTCGTGTCTGTGTGTATGGGGTGATTTAAAATAGACCAAGGAGGATTGCCGATTTTACGAAGTATTTTGGATTGTGTGGTTTGAATTTTGTTGGGGGAACTGGTTTATTGTCTATTGTCACAGCAGGGCACAAGAGCTTCCTCAGGGAGAAGCTAATATGATACCCTATCATTAAATTCACTTAAATTACAAACATTTTTTTATGTTTTTTTCTTCATAAAGACTTACTAGCCTGCTTAGATCTTTTTTTATATATTTTAGTTTTTAAATATTTCGACTCGGTCATCTAGACCCAATCAGGTTAAACAATCATCATTTTGAAAAAAATAGTTGTAAAGATTAAATTAAAACTTATTTTTATTGGCTTGTTTTTCTTTTAAAGTTTAACTTATCTAAACTATACAGCTTGCCCCGTATATAAGAGGAGATATTTAAAGCAAACTGTGGTCCGCTTTTCCTCTGAATAGTAGAAAATTTAATATTTATTTTTTATTTTTTTTTCAAGTTATGTGTTTTTTATTCAATAGAAAGATATAACTAAAAAAAAAAACGTTTAATTTAAATAATTAATAATTGCTTCATAGCAAATAGAAAAAATTAACTTTAATTGAAAATAGGGTTTGTCAGTTTCATTTGTCGTTTTTTTGGCCATGTCAATTTTTGGTTTTCCTTCTATCCCCTTCAGGTACCTCATTGCTAGTATGTAACTTCAGAGAGTTTCAAATATTCATAGGTTTAATTGACCAAAATTTTGTGTACTTTTTGAGGTATCAGCGAATAAAATTCTGAATCTATAGTTACTTTATTTCAGCCTCTTTTCATGAAAGTTTGTTATTTACATAAATTATTATTATTATTATTATCTGAATTTTCCTCTACCCGATAGGGCAATTCTTTCTTCACTCCAGTTTCTTATATTCTGTTGTAGAATCCTGTTTTTTCAAAAAGCTCATCAAAACTTCTACATCTTTCTCAGTATCTTGTAGTATTTCCTGAAGAGTACTGTGTAGGTTGAGATGTTTTCTTGTGGCTCCATAGTATTCACAATCCACGAGTATTACGGTTCTAGGGGAACCACATCTGACGCAGGTAGGTGATTCTCGATCGTGAAGTAAGTAACCGTGTGAAAATTCGCAGTGTCCAATTCGAAGCCGGCACAGAATTATTTCCTCTCTTCTTGATTTCCTATTACTAATGCACCATTTAGCCATTTACATAAATTAAAATGGCTTCAAGGAGAAGACTTTAGCCAAGTCCCATTTCTAAGCAATCTGAAGACCTTTCGGAGATTAGCTGTTTTGAACAAACTAACATTTACATATATACGATATATATATATATATATATATATATATATATATATATATATATATATATATATATATGTATATATATATATATATGTATATATATATATATATATATATATATATATATATATGTATGTATGTATATATGTGTGTCTTATACACTAACAATGTTTCTAAAATTTTTTTATTGATGACAGTTAGAGAATGATTCGAAAACCAGAAAAGCAAATGATATCTCCATTAATCTCTTTACACGATTACGAAGGATTGATGAAGGAAGTAATATAGATAAACTTTTGATACATACCTATATTTGTTTAACATGAAAAACGTCCATTTAAACTAAAAAGGACATAGTGGAAACAAATATTGTCGGATAAGAAATATCTTTATAGCATGCAGTAAATCACAAACCGACAACTATAAAATGACATTGAAGGTATGTGTATTTAGTTACTTATTTATTGTGGGACAAACCCCTTTAGAACAACAAATGTGCATGTGGCTTTAGGAGCCTCAGATATATTTAAGAAGAATCATAAAATAAACAAATAGATATAAAACAAACAAAAACATAAATAACTTTATAGTTTTGAAAAATTATGAAAACAAGTTAAAGAAACGTAAATAAAAATACTTAAAAAGAAACTAATAATATATATATATATATATATATATATATATATATATATATATATATATATATATATATATATATATATATATATATACGTGTACATATATATTCACAGAAACATTTATTTACAATATTATGGGGACTGGATGGAGGGGAAATGATTGAATAGGCGGAATCTAAAGGTAGGGAGGGTATTCTAGTGGCGGATGTAGTGAGAGGTGGTGTTCCATAGTGATGAGAATCGAATAATAAACGATCTGTCGAAATCAGCTGTTCTGTGGGCCTCAGTATATAAATGGAGACCCGAAACGGGTATTGTGGTGATGAAACAAGGATTTGAATTGAAGGATTCCAGAGATTTATGTAGGATTTCCGCGGGCTCTATGACAAATTCTCGTACCCCAAACCTCGTATATCCTTATACGCTTGCTCATTGAAATTCGTACTACTGTACATTCAATGTTACTTTTTTTTAATGTAATTTTTTTTTTTTTATTATTATTACCTTTTTTGTTATTGAAAATATTTCTATCTGTCTCAAAGGACATTTATAATAGCGTTCAGAGATCACATTCACACTCTATGTAGAATGATAATAATATATATACAATGAGTAAGTATAAAATAACCTAAAAAATAAATAAATAAAAAATAACAAATACATTTCTATTAATGTAAAATTAGATCAGAGCTTTGTTTATTAACTAAATCCATATATTTTAAAGCCTTTTTACATTATTTTTATAAACTTTAATGGGTCAAGAAGTAAAATGTGTTTAATTTAAGGCATGAAATTAAATGTATAGAAAGTGAATATATTTTAAGAAACTATTAGAAAACTTTCTATATTTTTTTTTTTTTTATTGAAATTTACAACTGTATTAAATGATTAATTCGAAAAGTAAATATGAAACAAGTAACATGACATGTATGAAGAGAAACTACCCATTGGTAGCAATCCAATTATATTTCTATATTAGAAGATCCCAAGGACATCTTCTTTTCGGAGGCCTTGGAGGGTACTATATAAATAAAAAAATAAAGTTGCTATTTTAATTTTTTTTCTATAAAAATTAAAATAGCAACAATATTAAATTTTTGTTTTTTGTGTGCTTACTTAAAACTATTCAGATAAGTTATGTAACAATCGTAGTAACAATTTTATGAAGAATATTGATTGAAGGAAATTATGAATATACTTTGTTATATTTTATTTATACTCGATAAAAAACGAAAATATTTTTCTAAAATTACGGTAATTTTTTTCTAAATTTTATTTAGTCATATTAATCTCTGTGCCTTCCTATTATGGGATATTGAATGACCAGTTTCTGTAAGAAGTTCTTAGCTGGTCTTTCTTCTCCATGATTTTCCTCTCAAATCTGTCAACACTTATAGGGTACCGGTTAGTGTCTAGGTCTCACAGCCGTATATTAGAACTGACATTTATAGAAATAGTTTTATAATTATAATTTATAGAAATATATAAATGGAAAATAAAAATAAGCTTTTCAGAAATAAATGGTTTTAAACACATTCATACCTAATTATAGTTATTTTATTTCATTTTCTCCTTTCCTTGCCTCTCGACTTTCAAAGCTTAGAGAAAGAAGGCAAGTTGTGGAAGTATCACGCTGTTTTTACCAAAAATCTGTATTGCCAAGAGGCAAGAAAAAAAGAAAATAAAATAAAATAATTATAATTAGGTATGAATTTATATATATATATATATATATATATATATATATATATATATATTATTTTTATAATTTATATAATTTGTTTTTATTAATTTTCTAGAAAACAAAATAAGATATAAAATAAAATATTAGAAAGTACTCGCAGATCGATTATTTTCTTCATAAGACTACGATTGTTACATAATTCATTTAACTAGTTCTAAATAACCATGATAAAAATAAAAATATAATAATAAAAAATTTATTAATTTGAATTATATGTAACCTAGTTTCCGACTTCGATGAAGTTTGTTATAATTTTTATAGAAAGTTTTCCAAAGTTTTCTAAAAATATATGAACTTTTTTTTATATATTTAATTTCGTTCCTTAAATCAAACTCATTTTACTTCTTGACCCGTTAACTTAAAAAAAAATAACGTAAAAAGGCTTTAAAATGTATGAATAGAGGCAATGACGCAAAGCTCTGATCTAATTTTTTTTTTTTTTAAATAATAACTTTGGGCCTAGAATAGAACGAATTTTCAATGAGCAAGCGTACGAGGTTTGAGGTACGTGGATTTGTTACAAAATGTTCGTACAGGCAACACTGAATGCAATGGTAATAATTTATTAAATCATATGTATTTGAAAAATCTGTAATAATTCTAAATAAATGATAAAAAAAAAATAGTAACTAGCGACACTTAAGTAAAAAAGTGAAATTGATTCTTCGTATTTAAGAACAGTTATCTCTAATTGCATTGGTAGTCGAAGCGATGTTAAATAAAAGTAAATAAAAAACAATTCAAAAAAAGAGAAAAAAATCAAAATCGGATAGTTATTAGACCTAAAACATATGTTTTGGTTAATAATTTTTATTAATGTATCATTGTAGTCGACTAAGATAAAAAACTTTAACACCTCTCCCTAAAACTTGCTTCATCTTATTTCTATATAATTTTGCCTTTTGTTTACTAACTTATCATGCGAATAATACCAGTTGAAGGAAAATGAATCAGTTTAAAATGAAATCGCGATTTCTTATTTCTTGACAACTAGAACAAATAATACTTTCTATATCCTCCCAAACCATTTTCTCTTCTTACTTACCTTTCACAATTTTTATGTTAACACACAACAATGAAACAATTTCTTAAGATGGCAGCACAACATTTCATTTCCCTTTATTTCAGTTGCGGTTTTTTGGTACTTTCATTACAATGTGTTAGTGTCTAAACATTTTTGTAAAATAAGAAAAACTGTGTTATTTATAGTTGAAGCTTTAATCTTTACATACAACTTCTCAAAAAAAAAAACATAATAAAAAAAATTCCTAAAAATTTACATTTTAAATTGGCTGTTGATTTTTAATCAAGAGGTATAGATCGGTAAGATCCGTCTTCTTTCGGACACATTCGGTTATTTTCGGAAATCTAGAAGAAGCGTGTTCTGAATGATCTTGAAACAGGCCGCCATTTTGGAATAGCGTAAGGGAACTAGTTAGGTTAATTAGTTTTTTTATTCTGGACGCACATAAATATTTTGTAGTTTAGTTTATATAGAAATTTTTCATTGAAATAGTTATTAAAATTTACAATATTTACAATAAATCAAAAAAGATTTTTTTTTTCAACGTAATCCAATGCTTACTGAATAGACATTGTGTTTCGTGCACAGCCTCTGATATCTGAATAGAAAAAATGTCTGTTCTTTATTTATTTATGACAGTTAGTATGGATCATGGTCCAATCAATTTTTTGTTCTCTTTATTAACAAATCTTAGCGAAGGTTAACATTATGTGAAATCCATCTACATATGATACATTTTAAGGTTATCCAGCGTACTTTTTATTATAAATTAGTCGTATTTACGGTTTCCTGACATAAACCTAACACGATGACGACTTTTCCATTGTCTGTGTTAGTCGACCCTTTGAAAATAGAAGAATTATTCCAAAAAATAGAAAACAGAAAGAAGTTGGAACAAATGTTGATGGATCCACGAGTTATCGAGTTGTCAAGACAGTCGCCTCAGAGCAGGCAGGCCCTGGCAGCGGTGGTCCGGAGGCTTCAGGAAGAGAGGGAGAGGAAGAGGAGGATCAGGAGCGCGGAACAGAAGGAGGAGGAACCAGCGGCGAAGTGGTTCAACTGCATCAACTTCTTGAAGCACTTCTCGGTCCCTCCGAAGCAGAGTACTCGCCACTTGATGAAGCCTCCTGAGTCCACGCTGAGGCAGAAGAACAAAGTTAGCAGGAGCACGCCGAATCTCGAATCTACAGCTCTTCCCAGCTTAGTCACTGAAGAATCCCCAACTCTTTTCATGACATCTCAATCAATGCCCACCAACATAATGCCTGAAATGTCTGTTTGCATTCCCAACATGAGTAAAGAGGGCGCGCTTCCTTGCAACTTAATGGATTTTTGCACTTCGGAAAAAGGTAGAGCTATGATAACTTCAATTATCAATAATACGGATATAAAACGGTTGTTGGGATTGAAATCGAGCATTCCGACCGAATCTCATCAGTTGGTACACTGCATCGATTGCCTCAACGGCTCCTACCTCCAATCCATACAATTCTACATTCCAAGCAAAACCTCTTGTCAAAGGTTCATAGTTTTGAGATCACGCGCATCGGGCAATTCTCTTCCTCGTCTGACTTTTGATGGACATTGTACCCACTTGAAGAGTGTTGTATCTTCGGCGACCCAGACCGCATATTCAGGAAGTTGTTCTCATTGCAGCAGTTATTGCAACTCTACGGATAGCTTCAGTAGTTACAACAATCCGCCACGTGGTGGGCTCGTCCAGAAAATTCCGTATGAGCTTTCTTTATGCAAAAAAAATTACATGATCAAGGCGTCGAAATCCCAGTCCGCCATGTATACAACCGATTACAGTGACTGCGATTGCGATAATTTCTCATCCCCGGATGAACTGTGTAGCGGTAAATATCTATCTCGAATACTCACGAACGCAGTTGCTCCTAAAATAGATTATTTGACCACACCGGATGTTCTGGTTACTTATTCAGGAAAAGGGAATTCCAGCGATGGTTCATCAAGCAGCTCTTGCAAAGTCTGCAAAGGCAATATCTCCACCGAATCTTTTCAACGCGAACCACATGAAATATGGACACAAAAGAGACTGAAGACTTCTTGCGAATCCTGTTTGAACACGTTTAGAACGGAATACATCCGTAAATCGAGGTACTCTACAGAGTACTCTAAAGAGATAACAAGATTAAGTAACAGAAGCGGATCTTTTGATTCATTGAGCTCGGAAGAATCCTCGCAAGGGATTTCTAACGGCCTCCGAGAATTTGGTGAGGATTTTTATGCTCAAGCAAAGTCGATTCTGGATGGTGTGGGGGTAGATGCGCAGATAGAGCAATTCGACAGACGAAATGAAATCATTATGAAAGATTGTTCAGTATACGAAGAACGAATTATACAAGAAGAAAATTGTGATGTTGAAACGAAGAATATTGATTGTTTGAATTCCGATGTAAAGAATGTGTCTTCAGGTGAGTTGGAACAAACCGATTCGAATGAAAAGCCTACAGAGTCCGTTTACGAATCCACAGCACAATCCCTAGCTCCGATTATTGAAAAGAACCTTTCGTTCTCAAGCGAGGGGAAGGTACGCAATATAACCATCTGTGAATATACTAAAACGCAACTGGATGGAGGCCTGGAACCTCCGGAAAACGGCAGCTCAAAGCCCCAATCTGCGGTACCAAACAGGAAACAGCTGTTGGTGGACGATCTCTTCTCCACCACCAGTTCAGAAGAAGAAAGGAAGCATGCGGAATGCGTAGTAACGCGCTTGAGGAAGCCACGTAAAAGGGTAAGAACTAAAACAGGCTCTACCTCAGCTTTTAGCGATTCTTCATCCTCTTCTTCTTTACCTCAGTTCAGGACCTTTCCCAGAAGGATGAAGGCAAAGGCTGCTCCCATGGAAACCCCAACGGTTCCTCAACAGAACCTCCTTCAAAAAATATCAAAACAGAAGTCGAGGAAAAAAAATTGCGCTATAATGTAATTTATTATCAATTTTAGGCTGACTATTAAGTCTTTCTTAATAAGTTTAAAAAAAAAGTTTAAAATGTACAATAAAAATAATTTCTTTTATTTAAAAATGTGAAATAATTCTACCAGTGATCTTGTAGAATCGAGAATGATAACAATGAAAGCGTTGTAACCTTTAGTTTGTGAAATATATATTACCATAACTTTGTTATGATAATAATATATACATGTTTTTTTAGAGATCGAAATTATACTTCATGTTTTAAAAAATAAAGAAAAGTTTTTTTTTTTTAATTCTTTATTCCATCAAGTAAATTTATCGAGTTCATCGCTAACCTATACACATACATTTATTTTATTTAATTCCAAAATTCCTAAATTTTGTTATTTGTGGCCACAGTCCTCAATACTTCTAGAATACAGAGGATGGATGATTACTATCGTAATTTTGACATTGTATGTTCATTTCGATATTTTTTCTTCCTCAGAGTTAGTAAAAGTTTCGAGGAACAGCTGGAAAATATTTCAATTCATTATTTATATGAGTGTTGTGTGATATAAAAGCCGAATATGTGCAAACTTTAAAAAGTTGAAAAAAGCCACTTTTGGTACATATAGCTTCAAGGTAAATCAATTCTAATGATTTTCATCCATGACTCAACTTGAGCATTCTTAAATGAAATCATCAGAAACAGTTTGAAGTGGACCAATAAAACAAAAATTCCCACATTTTCTGAAAATGACATATATCCGTCTTCGATATGAGGCCATACTTATGTAACAAGAAGTAAACATGGTGGAGATTCGATCAATTTAACATACGTTAACATTATTGAATATTTTCAGAGCAAACCTTTCAAAAATTTTAGTAACTTGATAATAACCTCTACTGTTAACAAATGTTATCCCATATGTAAACTAGGGATGATATATCGAAGATCCAATATTGTCATCGATGTTAATATCGGACTAATGACACCGTCAAAATATCGTACTTAAAATATCAATCATAGATATTATAAACAGTTTTGAAATATGAATATCTACGTAAATATTGTTTCTCTAGCTGATTAGCGCTTAAAAAAAACAACGTTATTTTCTTCGCTAAATTAATTAATGGGAAACCAATTACCCTACTGAGTAAAATTAATTGTCTAGTTCCTGTCCATCTTCGTCATCCTATTATCTAATTCTACAATCCTTCCTTTCCGATAGATTTTTCTCTGTCCGACACGGGTCAGAACTATCTTCAATCAGGTCTATCTCAACAGGAGTACCTCAAGGTTCAGTACTCGCTCCACTAATCTATATTACATACACCCATACCTTGCAGTCCCAACATTTTAACAGCGATATATGCAGACGACACAGCGATTTTAGCATTACACAAAAATCCAACACACGCCAAACAGACCCTACAACAGTATTTAACAAGATTACATGACTGGTTCAAACTTTGGAAAATTCGACTAAATCAAGACAATTCACAGCACATCACATTTAAGCTTCGACATGAAACATGTCCTCCAGTTTTCCTTGACAATACACAGATTCCACAAACAGACAACGAACACTACCTTGGTCTGACATTTGACAAAAAAATGACGTGGGGCCCACATATAATTCAGAAATGAAAATCGCTAAATCAATGGTTAAGAATTCTGAGTTTGCTTCTTTCGAAACATTCAAAACTAAAACTTAGACAGAAATTGAACACATACAATTATTTACTAAAACCTATTTGGACTTACGCATCACAGATATTTGGAACTGCTAAAAAGACTCACTTAAACAAACTTCAAATCTTTCAAGCAAAAACATTTAGGACAATCTCAAAAGCACCTTAGTACGTTAGCAATATAACCTTACATACTGACCTCCATATGCCGACTGTTAACGAACCCATACGAACTCATTACAAACGATTCCATGACAACTTACAAGGACATCCTAATACACTTATAAATGCCATGGCCACTACGGATATGCCAAGTAACGTCTGTAGGAGACTGAAGAGGAGCTGGATGAGGGATCTCCTCGCCTAATGTAGATATCACGCCGAGTGAGGTGCCGTTGGGCACTGATCCTCCTCATGGCTTTCATGACATTATATTTTGCAATCGACCTCACATTTACTGGTTGTCATTACCATTATGACATGTGTGAATAAAAAATTAAAGCTAAAAAAAAAATATTCGTCCTTAGGTTTTTCCCAGAAATTCCCATTCAGCCAATCATGCCTTCCATTCATCCATAAATCGGATTCAGTGAAATGCTAATTACTTTGTATCCTACATAGATTTCTTTAAATATCCGTAGCCTTGGTTTGAGAAGGTTCTAACTAAGAAATTTGGGCAAATTGAGTTTACTTACAATTAGTGAGAAGAGTCCCACGCGCGCTACTCAACTCTACCTAAGGATGGTCATCCCTAGTCGATGTTATCGAAATATCGATTTTTTCCCTCTACTACGCAATACACTCCATATCAAACCGGCATGATTATTTTTTATAACGATCAGATTCATATATAATTTCTAACACTTTCCGAAAAAGATAGTTTTTATTTTTTTTAAATTAAAATATCGAAGGGATGATATTAATAGTAGATAATATCGAAATAGATACTATCGTATAAAATATCGAATATCGGTGGCTATTCGATTGTAAACCCACCTTCAGGAGTCCTTCCGGATTGTTAAGTAAATTAGGGTGCTAAATACGAATCACAATTCGGTTTCTCCTTAAAAAATGTTTGAGATATCTCCAAATAAAAATGTTTCTATTTCTTTCATAACTTTTTTCACTGAATTTTCCGGAGGATGTGACTATTGTTCTCCACGTCTCTATCAAATACACTATCATTTGATACCTCATTCGTCCAAATCTATGGTTATCGAAATGTTTGTGTTTTTCGACAAAAATCCAAGGCCATAGCCTAAGTTCAATTTTGAATAAAAAAAAGTTGTTTCTTCGATTGCTATGAATATTGTTAAGAATATTCGACCGAAAAACCTGCATTACAATAGACTGTAGCGACTAACCAAATGTACTGATTTTATTGAAACTTAGCTAAAGTCATTTTATCGACGCCCATTAAATTTATCTATATAAACTACTTCAACGAAAAGAAGTTGGAAAAAAAGTTACGAAGGATGGTAAAATTGAATTCCGGATAACTGAAAAAGTGTACACTTGTTGATATTGTATGGTTGTTTAAAAGTTTACGGAATTTCATGAGAAAAAAAAATCGTTAACATCGGACCGTTATTAGCAAAGATATGGTCTCCAGTTTTTTTTAATATGTTCAACCGCAAATGTTATAGCCTTTGTTTTGGTTTGTGAATTTTGAATGTATTACTGAAGTAATGCTATTTTTTTTTTTTTTTAGCATATTACTATTGATTTTTTTTTTAAGCTTATTTATTGAAAAATATTACAATATGTCTCAAGGACATTTATAATAGTGTTATAACAGATCACATTCACACTTTATGTACAGTAAATAAAATAACTATTGATTAAAAAAAAAGTTTAGTAAAATAATTGGAATTACCTTTTATTTATTTTTCTTTGTAACCAGAAAGGTAATGTTACTTTAGATGTATAATGGTTTGGAAATAATAAACCATTGTGAAATAATTTGCAGCGTTTTATAACTGCAATCAAATTCGTAATTTTTTTTAGATAATTACTATGTATTATTTTTTTCACGTGTTAATTATAAAACAATGTTTTAATTTTAACATGTGAGGCATGTGAAAATGCTAATCTGACAGTTGAACACATATTCCAGTGCAAAAAGTTCCGGAAACAGCAAATCGAACTCCAAATTGAAGACAAGGCACCGTACAAGGAAAACACTGGTATTGAAAAAACGCTGAAGTACATCCGAAAAATAAAATTGATAAGTTATATTTAAGAAGAACGATCGTCGCTAATGACCTTGGCAGTCGATGCTACGTTAAATAACGGCAAATAAAAAAAAAATAAAAAATAAAAAAAATGTTTTTTTAATAATTAAACTCTACATACTGACCTCCACCTTCCAACAGTTGACCAACATATAACGACTCTTAATCAACGATTTTACACTAATTTAAACGAACATAAAAACAGCCTACTAAGATAGATTGCCGAGACTCAGAACATGAGGAGGAGAGTAAAATGGCGTTGGATGAGAGATATCCTTCCTTAAACAACCTAAGTAATTGGAACAAGTCAGGGAAGAGGTACTGCTGAGTACTTTCCTTCACCATGCCTGTCATGCCATTTATATCATATACTTCGAGCACATTATCTGATTGTCATCAAAAAGCTGACAAACAATAATACATATTTATAGATAAAAAAATTAAAGATAATTGAGATAAATTGACTTTATATGGACTTTTTTATAGCTCTTGAGGTCAGGTATCACCTCTTTAAATTATTCTCTATCACTCTAAAAATAATCATCAACCTCCCCACCTCCTCCCAAGATATTTTATTGCTTTCCTCTTTTAAAATCGATGCAAGCTGAAGAAGAATTTTAAAAATCATAGGTCATATAAAATTACACTTTCATTGTTTTGTTCTATGCTTTCCTCTTGTCCTCTGATTTGAAAATTTTCATTTCAAAAAATCATAACCTAGTCGAAATCTGCCCTCCTCAAAAATTGAAAATCCCATCAAAGTGTGCCCCTCTCAAAAATTTTGATTTTTGACCTTCTAGGCACCTCTGTAGATTTTGAAAATATCTACTTATGTTCCAATACAGCTTAGTTTTTAGACAATTTATATCCGGTTTGTGGCTGCAAGATCTTTTCCGGATCACTTCATATTTTTTTGTTTCCAAGTAATCTTCGTTGGTTAGGTATGCTCATTAAATATCAGGTAAAAACAGCACCGCATTTTCAGGAATTCCCATGAGGAAAACTTACTCCTTTGGAAATAATTTAAATAATCGTGGTCTTATGGGATATATTTTTAGTCATTCCACGTCATGATGTTTTTTTTCTTCGGCACAAACCTGAGATAAGGCATGTAGGCTATTTCATAATTTACCTGGGAAAATTATGCCATCGGTAAAATATTTCTTTAACAATTATCGCTGAAAATACTTTTTGCATTGCTCATAAAAGATTCTCGTTCTTATAGAGTTGCATCACAAGTATTTTGTAAATATTCTCTTCTATGATATTTTTTTATTAAATTAACTTATGATCTTCCAAATTATATACAAAACTCTTGAAACCTTGCCAAGACACTTAAAACTATCTACAATGGTACAATATAAATATACACTTTTAGA